ACTATTTATTCATTGTGACAGTTATTTTTAATATTCTACCTAGTGTTCAACTACTCTTCCCTGCTTGCTAACAGCACTCTCATGGAGTTTTTTTTTTTTTTTTTGAGTGGAAGCATTATGTCCACAGCCAAGCAATAAATTTTTTTGGTGTAAGTCAATCATGATAATCTCATTCTCATTCTTTCAGCATTCTTGGAAGCCTTCGTATACCTTAGTTTTGTCCAAAGAGACCTAGGAAAATGAAGTTTTCCTGCAGAATTCTTAAAGAGGTTTTGATTTTCTGATAAAAAGGGACAGACACACTGCCATGTCCTTTCTCATTCTGGCCTTGACTGTGAATATGACAGTTGCTACCTTGTGACCATGAGGGTAATGGCAAGCAAACCACAGACTTCATTGATCTATTGAACCCACATAAGTTACTCTTCTTATATACCTGTTGGTAGGAATGTAAACTGGTACAGTCACTGTGGAAAACAGCATGGAGGTTCCTCATAAAATTAAAATAGAACTAACATATGATCCAGCAATTCCACATTCCACTCCTTGGTGTTTATCCAAAGAAAATGAAAACATCCATCTGAAAGGATATATTACCTTCAATGTTCATAGCAGCATTATTTATTACAGCCAAGATATGGAAGCAACCTAAGTGTCCAGGGACAGGTGAATGGACAAAGAAGCTCTCTATCTATCTGTCTGTCTATCTGTCTATCTATCTATCTGTCTGTCTCACAAACACTGTATGTTTTCATTTGTATATAGAATCTAAAAAAACAAAGCAAACAAACATATAACAAAACAGATACAGATTCACAGATACAGAGAACAAACTAGTGGTTATCAGAAAGGATGTGGGGTGAGGGATGGGTGGAATACGTGAAAAGGATTAAGAGTTACCAACTACCAGTTATAAATCACAGGGATGTAATGTTCAGCATAGGCAATATAGTCAATAACAGTAATAACGTTGTATGGTGTGCATAATCTATAAAAATATCAAATTGCTATATTGGAAACCTGAAACAAATATAATATTATAAGTCAACTATACTTCAATTAAAATTAAAAAAAAAAACAATGTCACTAAGGTCAGGTTTTCTGTTTCTTGCAAATACATGTACATATGTACTATATTCGAGGCACTGTGTGTGTGACAGCCTTCAGCCATCGGCTCCATTAGATTTCAGTGTCGACCTCAGCTACCCAGAACTACCTAACTTGGGGTCTCACCCTTCCTTGGAAGCCTATATCTTGTGCCTAAGTGAGATGGGGGTGTAAAGACTCAGTCATTTGGGGCCAATGTGGGATGCTCTGACAGGCAATACCTAGTCCAGAGCTCCCCACTAGGTTGACTGAGGGTTTGTTAAGCTAGCATTGCATTAATGTCCTTGAAAGGCAGTAGCAAGGAAAAATACTCTTAATGGGTAGAGTTTTGGGCATTGCATCTGGTTATCTATTTTGTGTGAAAACATAATTGGCCAAGGAAGAGAGAAGGGGTGATGTAGGGGTAGAGGACTAAGAAGTACAAACTAGGTATAAAATAAGCTACAGGGATATATTGTACACCATGGGGAATATAGCCAATATTTTATAATAACTATAAATGGAGTATAACCTTTAAAATTTATGAATTACTATATTGTACACCTGTAACTTACATAATATTGTACATCAGCTATACTTCAATAAAAAAAATTCACCATGATAAAAAGATAAGGGTCAAAAAGGGAGGGACAATAAAGAGATGAATGTGAGAAAGAATGAAGCAGAAGAAAAATGGGGCAAGACAGAGAGAGAGTGGGGATGAGAGAGAGATACGAGTAAAAGAAAATACTTCTCTATGGTAAAAAAAAAAATTACACATTTTAAGGTGCAAATGAAAGATGAAGTAAATACTGGCAGCACACATTAAAAAGTTTCAAAATCCATTAACACAGAGAGTTCCAACACATAAATAAAGGAAATTGATTGGGTTGACCTTTTTATTTCTTATGAAAGTAGTAGGTAAGTTGTTTGATTAATGATTTAAAAGAAGACATCAAGGAGAGAGAGGCATTCTGGATGTGCTGTTCATGCTGGCAGAACGGCACATCGAGGGGCCAGGTCTGGGCCTTTGGGTGCCCTGTCTGGTCAGTCCTTCAAGAAGCAATTCCAATCTTGGTGAGTAACCAGTATCATCAGGTACTGATTATTAGTCCAGACTCCATTTTATGAATGAAATATAGAGAATATAGCTCTAATGAGGACTAAGGAGTTCTTGTTTGTCATCACATTGTTCCCCAGTGGCGAAGTTCCCAAGGAAAGTGAAGTCAGTATCAGTAGCTTATTGAACAAAGGCAGTAGACCCACAGCATCTTTTAAAAGCTGTTTTCGGAACCCGTAGAGAACAGTTGAAAGAGCCCAGGTTTGGGGGGATAGAAAGATCGGGATCTGATTCTCAGTTGTAGCAGTAATTAGAGCAATTTTCTTATTCTCTCTGGACCTCAGTGTTTTATCTCATTTCAAAGACGTAATGATTTTAAGGATTGTTGTGGGAGATTAAGTGGGAATTCCTGGCACTCTAAATGCAGGCGTCCCCATTTCCAGGACATCAAAGCCTGAGACTGGCTAATCAGAGCTGCTGCTTCTTCCTTGTACTGTGCCACTGACCTTGACCCAATTTCCATCACCATGCAAACCACGTGGATCTATTAACATATCTTCCCTCAGAATGTCCAGTTGTAATTCAGTAGATGAACTAACAACTGTTTGGGTCACATCTGAGATCTGAGGGTGTACACAGTTACTCTGGTTGAATTTGGGTGATTTCCAAGTTTCCTGCGGACCACGTTTACAATGTCATGTCTTAGGAAGGGCTACTCTGGAAAGTACTGTTTATTACTCACAGATTGTTTTTAGTCTCTGCCAGCGGCCTTTTCTCACCTTTTTCCAATTTTTATTTATTCAACACATTCTTTTAGAATATCTATGACGTGCCAAGCACTGTGTGAAGCGTTGGGATACACATCTTAGTAAGATCTGGTTCTGGAGATGAAGTGTGAGGAATATAGACATTTCACTAAAATAAAAATGTGCTCAGTGCTAAGACAGAATTATATCTAACATTTTTATGTCATTCTCTGAATCATAGTATCTTCTTGAGATACTGTTAGGGGAAAGTCCAATTTCCTAGTAGCATGTTTCCAGGAAGAAACTTCCACTCCCAGGAGAGCAATGAATTAGGACAGGAACATTTTTGCCTTTTTGAGCCACTGAACTGACAAGACTAGTGCCAGATCTGGGTGTGAAGTTTGTACACAGGTTTAGCTTTCTTTTCTTCCTCCTTGTTGGAACAGGCCTAAAATTGTCCGGTTTCTACAGGGAGAAAAGTTTAATATGATGAAAGCAGTGGTGGTGGAAGGAGTAGTTGGAAGCCTTATTCTGACAAAAGGTTAAAGCACATCCTCTAATTCACCTTCAGCAGTCATGAAACTTTGTTTTGTATTCATTCTTCTGATCCTCCTGTTGGTCATTCTGTTCTGCAGTTAATGTGTGCATTGTTCTCTATGTGTCAGGTTGTGTTTGTTTTTCATATTAGTCAAATATCCTACATCCTTGCTCATTTTGTATCTGCTTATTTGATCAGAACTTGATCGAGGGATGCATGAATTTCTGCCAAACGACTGTGACTTTATTTCTCTTTTTAGTCCTATTAGTACTTGCTTTATGTACTTTAAAGCTATGTTATTAGATGTAAATTTAGATTTGGTACATTTTCTCATAGGTTGATCCTTTTATTATAAAAAAAATTGCACCTTTTAATCTGTAGTAATGTTTCTTGCTTTAAAATAACTGTCAAATATTAGTATATATCAAACTTCTTTTATTAATGTTCGCATTGTATAAATATTTCCTACCTTTTTTTTTTTTTTTTTTTTTGGCCGAACGCGGGCCTCTCACTGTTGTGGCCTCTCCCATTGTGGAGCGCAGGCTCAGCGACCATGGCTCCCGGGCCCAGCCGCTCCGCGGCATGTGGGATCTTCCCGGACCGGGGCACGAACCCGCGTCCCCCACATCGGCAGGCGGACTCTCAACCACTGAGCCACCAGGGAAGCCCTTCACTTTTATTTTTGAAGGATATTTTCACCGAGTATAGAAGTCTAGGGTGGTCATTATTTTCTTCAACACTTTGAATATGTCATTTCAGTTTTTTCTGGCTCCTGTCTTTTCTCTTATGTAGTCAACGATCACTACTGCTGGTGCTGATGTCCATTTGAAATATCTGTCTCCCCACCTATTTATTTATCTGTCTGTCCTTCTCCCACTGCACTTGGGCTGAGGGACAAACACATGCCTCCCACCCTAGGGTAGGCAAAGGGTGATGGCTCAACACCCTATGACAGTGCAATTAAACTCTCATTCTGCCATTTTCACCTCAACCCTTTCACATCCTCAAGTGAGACCTCCCGCCCTCTTTAGTTGGTCTCTCCTGACTATATGTAGATTTACAATATGCCAACAAAAGATATTTTGGAGAAACTACATAATTAATGTTAAAAGACAGCCTATGGGTTTAGACTTACTGAGTAATTGTTATTTAATTTTCTGTAGTTTCCTCTTTTTTCCCAAAAGTTGTACGATGAACATTTGTTACGTTTACAACAGAATTTTGAGTTTTTTTTTTTAAATGGAGTTAAAGTTATTACCTTGAAATGTATCCTGAAAGACTGTTTGATGATGGAGTGCCTGAATTGTAGTTAAATACCAAAATTATTTTGTTTTAAAAAAAAATAACTAATCAGTCCTCTTCCTCGTCACTTCTTAGTTTTCTGAAGCATCTCAATTGAAATGTTATGGTTTCTATGTATTTAAATCAGATGTGAAGTCTTTTAAGGACCCACTGAATTAATCACAAGATGTATCACTTTAGGCATCCTTAGGATATACAGAACTTGTTTATTTTAAGTGAGGTCACTGAATAATGCCCATCTGTTTTTGCCTTTCTTCTCCTCCTTCAGGTTGATGGAGCGCCATGGAAATTCACCGAAGGCTGCTAGCCAGGAGGCTCAAGAAGGAATTGTCAAAAAGGAGAACTATCCAGACATTGTCTTTGCAGCCTAAACAGGAAAGAAAACTCATAGGTAAGTAATAATAGGTGCTCTGTGTGCTCGAGCACTCTAAGAAGGGTATTGTCTGGACTGGGGAGCTGCGGCTTTGGCTACACATTCAATGAACCAAGGTCTATGAGGTTCAAGTTCAGAGAAATGGATTTCTGCCACTGCAGACTCATTAGGGCTGATGCTATCACAGTGCTAAAAGGAAAACCTTATGTTCACCTCAGGGCTGCCAACTGTCCAGCTGCCATCTGCATCAGCAATGGCAAGGAATGCTCTGAATTTGGACTAGAGAAAACATAGCCAGAGCCAGGCTAGTCAATGAGCCTAATTATAATAATGCTAATAATAGCAAACCTTTATTGAGCCCTTACTGTGAGCCAGCACTGCTGAGAGCAGTCTGTGTGCGTTACCCCGTGTAATCCTCACTACTCCAGTCATGAAGCTGGAGCTCTTATGAGGACAGTTTCGCATCTAAGAAATGAGGCTCAGACAGGTTAAGTAATTTGTCTGTGATCACTCAGCTGGAGCGGAGTAGAGCTGGGTTTTGCACTCTGGTCTGTCTAATACTGTTGCCCAGAATCCCACCACTTGGTTTTTCTAACTCTGAAGTCCAGTCTCTCGGCAGGGCACTCTGGTCCTCCAGGATGTGACTCAGAGCATCCTGCCCCTTTCCCCACCCCCAGACCCCAGGGTCTCCCCTGCCTACCACCCAGTGCCTCTTTTCTCTGGCCCAGTCGTAGACTCCACGCCCTGCGCACATCTCGCGTTTCTAAGGTCCTTTGCTTTTGCTCATTACTTGTGCCTTAAAGGTACATTCCCTTTTCCCTGCCAAACCAGCTCTATCATCCATTAATTCTCTGTGCAAAGGTCACTTCCTCTGTGAATCCTGTCTCAGCATACGCCTCCCAACTCTTGGCCTCCTTAACTGCTCCTTTGGTACCAAGTTCATATTTAAGCACAGAGGTCAGCAAACTATGGCCTGAGGGCCAAATCTGGCCTGCTGCCTGGTTTTGTATGGCCCACGAGCTAAAGATAGTATTGTGTTTTTATATATTTGGAGGAAGAAATCAAAAGAAAGATATATTGTGGCACATGAAAATTATATGGAGTACAAATTTCAGTGGACACGAAGCAAGTTTTATTGGTACATAGCCATACTCACTTGTGGACATATCGTCTGTAGCTGCTTGTGTCCTACAATGGAAGACTTGAGTAGTTGCAACAAATACATAGGGCCCAGTGTCTAAAATATTGGTTGTTTGGCTCTTTCTACAGAAACAATTTGCTAACTCCTGCATTGGAGTGCTATCAAGTGGTGTTTTGGAATAATGAGCACCCATGTGTTACTGATTATTATATTGCCTGTGCCCAGTACGGGGCCTTTCTCTTAGTAGACAATAATTTAATGAGCATATGATTGAAAGTTAAGTGAGTATGAAGGACAGATTCTACACCAAGAACCAGCAGTCTTGGACTCCAGTATCATTTCTGTCACTTACCGTTATCTGGCAGAACACTCAAAGTAGGATAATTTGATAAACATTTTTCACAAAGGGACAGTGCAGTAATTCAGAGCTGGTAGCAGCAAACACGTTACCATCTGTCAACTGGAAGGGTCCAGAGGTGGGAGCAGTTTCAGGATTCCGGAAAGATAAAGTCACGTAGAGTTAGCCTACGTGAGCACCTATAGCTTCTGTAGAGATACACAGCAGCTGAGAGGGTCCTCTCGGGGAAGAAGCCAAGAAAAGAAATGCCCTGACCCCATTCTCCTCTCCCTTCCCACCTTCTGCTGGGTCTCCCTATTGGGGGACTCATGCAGGCACGGGAGCCTTGTCAGTGTCGTGCATGAAGATTGGCTCCTGGAAAGCAGAGGAGGATGGAGAAGATAGCAATCTGGAAGGGCAAAGGAAGACATCCCACACACAAACTTAGTGACAATCATCTATTCCTCAGGCTTTAATTTCTTTACCTATAAAATGGGCGAGTTGGATTATCAGATATTTACAGTAATAATAACTGAAACAACAACACTGATAGAGGTTATTTGTTGAGACCTTATTCTGAACCATACATTCATTTTGTCAAATAGCCTTCAGAATAAATATTATCCCCATCATACAAGTGAGAAAACTGAGGCTCAGAGAGATAATGCAGGATACTCATTCACATCGTTGTTAAGTTGACCCCTCCCCCTTGAAAATATACTTTCCTGAAGTCCCTCCCTCACTTTCACTTACCCTAACCCTAACCCTAACCCTAACCCTAACCCTAACCCTAACCCCAATCCGGTTGCACTGTTTGGGGCAGTAGCTGTTTGGGGTTTCTGCTGTCTTTGTTTTATTTATGATTCTTATTACTTTTTAACATCTTTATTGGAGTATAACTGCTCTACAATGGTGTGTTAGTTTCTGCTTTATAACAAAGTATCCCGTATCTCCTCCCTCTTGCGTCTCCCTCCCTCCCACCCTCCCTATCCCACCCCTCTAGGTGGTCACAAAGCACCGAGCTGATCTCCCTGTGCTATGCGGCTGCTTCCCACTAGCTATCTATTTTACATTTGGTAGTATATATATGTCCATGCCACTCTCTCACTTTGTCCCAGCTTACTCCTCCCCCTCCCTGTGTCCTCAAGTCCATTCTCTACGTCTGCTTCTTTATTCCTGTCCTGCCCCTAGGTTTGTCAGAACCATTTTTTTTTTTTTGGATTCCATAATGTGTTAGCATATGGTATTTGTTTTGCTCTTTCTGACTTACTTCACTCTGTATGACAGTCTCTAGGTCCATCCACCCCACTAAAAATAACTCAATTTCGTTTCTTTTTATGGCTGAGTAATATTCCATTGTATATATGTGCCACATCTTCTTTATCCATTCATCTGTCAATGGACACTTAGGTTGCTTCCATGTCCTGGCTACTGTAAATAGTGATGCAATGAACACTGTGGTACATGACTCTTTGAATTATGGTTTTCTGCCATCTTTAAAATTAAGCTCAACACTAACTAGTCAGCCTTGGGGTTACTTGATCAGCCCTTCTGGATTCACTAAGTTCACACAGCCCTCTCTGATCTCACACCTGGTTTCCCATGGACACCAGTTTCAGCCAGGGTCCTCCCTGAAAGATCAGAACTTCCAAAGAAACATGCACTCACCCCCACTCCATCCCCTGACCTCTTTCTTGTTACTATCAAAACATAAAACTTGGGCAGGACTCCTGGTAACACAGATCTCATCAATAGAATTAGCCTGATGACAGATGTACCAAGTTTTTCCAAGAAACATGTTTGAAGGCTGAATGTTATAGGTCTGAACCCTGGTATGTTTCTTTATTTATTCTGGGCAATTTGCTCAACATTGGAACCCTTGTACATCATAGCATGGATGTGATCTCTTAATTATTCATGCCATTAATAATTGACACCATTAATAACACTGTAATACCATTAATAATTGAGTACATAAAATGGAATTCTCTGGAATTAATTTATTATTATTAATTTTCTGTGCCAGCTAGCAGGCCTCATTAAAATGGTGGTCAGGGTCTGTGCATCAAATTATTTTAACTAGTAATCTCCAGGTTTAAAAGGCCAAGGAATTGTGGAATTCACTTCAGCCACTTCCTTTCCTTGCCATTAACAGTGCCTCCTTTCTCCCTCTAGGAAAGGGGGAAAGCTTCTTGTGAACAATTCTATAGAATTCAGCACATCTCACTGCTGGCTTATAAAATGGGGCCTAACAAAAGGGGAAAGAAAGCTACCTTTGGGAGTACAAATTCTTGCATCAAACCTGCCCTCAGGGCTACCAGTCCTCCCAGGCCAGGTCCAGGCATCAGCCCCTTTCCTGCCGTAGACCCCAAGGGCTGTGACCACTCCCTTTCCCTAATTAAAGCTTTGGCCCCTATTCTCTCCTCCAGGATCCCTCTTTCTTAAACTGACCAAAGACAAATATTCCTGACTCCCCCCATCTCCCCTTGATGCTATTCCTGAGACAAGCCCCTTGTCCCTTCTCGTAGTTTCAGAGCCAACTTTAATAGAGACACTGAAAGGAGAGAACAAGAATGATCTACATGAGTCGTGTACACAGGCTCAATTCTTTGATTTTACAGAGGTCCAATTCTCATGCAAGTCACTGGAATTCACCCAGCCTAATTTCCTTATCTACAGAATGGTGGAGTGCCTACAGCAAAGGTAAGAGTGGTAACCATGGAGAAGCACTGCTCCAGATGCTCATTCTAGGAAGGAGCTGATACCCAGGTGAAGAGGGGCTTCAGCAGACAGACTCCAGCTGTCGGTGCCTTCAGGGTCTGCTCAGGTGTGGAGAACTGCCTTGCCCGATATCACAGCCTTCTCAGGTAGGATGACCAGCTCACTTGGTTTCTTGGTACTAAAAAGTCTGGCACCATAGGATGGGTCTCTGGGCTGGAGTCTGACCCCATGGGCACATCCTTACAAGCAGAGGCATTTGCCCTCAGTGTCGGACGAGGACGATGGTTTGTGAAGTTTTGGGTGCATTGTCTGGAACAATGGACCACAGTGATTCCACTCTTCCACCCCTCCCCCATGCCAGCTGAGCTGAGTACAGCTGCCACTAAGCCCACTGGGATCTTTGACAGGAAAATTAATGTGATATATTCCTCCCATGAAGTCCCATAACACTCCGTAACTTTCTAATGGTGCTCTCCACAAGCCAGCTTTTATTATAGCTATTGCTGGAACCTGTCTTCCTCTCTCTCCTGGACCTGTGAGCCTCAGACCCCTTGCCAGCGACTGGCATGTTTGTGTGTGAAGAAATGAGCAAATGGGTGGTACCTTGCAACCTATACTTCCCTCTCTTATATGCCTATTAAAGTTTAAGAGGGCTCCCAACTGGGAGGGGTTCAACATATGTGAAAACCTGTGACATCAAAAATCGACATTCTTCTCCCACCTCCACCTGAATTCCTAAGACTCATTTTGCTTAGCTCTTAGGTTTGTCTGTGCATGAATAAATATGTTAAATAATAGATGCAAGGTCATTTTAGGAATTATTTATATGAGAGATTAAGCCTAGAAATACTCTGTGTCTCTGTTTAAACATAGTTTAATCCAGTCTTTGATATAAAGCAAAATGTGTCAAATTGCTATTCTAAATTGTACTGAGGTTTTCTGATAAAAAGAAATAACCTAATGTTGTCTAGTAGCAGGTTCTTATCACTAATCTTCTCTTAGTGGATTGAATGGTTCAGTTAGTTTTTTAGGATCTTTGAAAATCTTATCTGTGCATTCCAGAGTCTTTTTCTCTCGTGTCCCTGGAGGTATGTATAAATAGATTCCATCATGTGCTCTAGAATGCAAATTGTGGCAGTTTTTCCATCTCTCTGACCTTGTTTAACCCTCCTTCTGGATTTAGTCTTCCTGATTAACCAGAGGGGGAAAAATTCATAGTATCACTTGGACACTTTGATGAAGGATACTGAACCCCTGTGATAGAAATCGTCTTCTCCCTGATGAAACTTATCAACTATTAATTAGTTCCCTCAGCTGACCAGGGATCCATCTGCATCAGATGATATTAAATGTTATAGGAAAAGGAAACATCTGGGACTCAGAGGCCCATGAATTTGAAACTCTTTGCCTTCCTGCCACTGGGGTTTGAAATTGAGTACTGCTCTAAGTTAAGTTTAAAACTCAGCTCCAGCGAAAAATGTTAGATCTTATATTAGCAGGTATGGTCATCTGGCCTATTAAATGTTGACTCGTTTATGTGTTTATTGTCTATCTCCCTCCGATATACATAAGTTCTATGTGGGTAGGGATTTTTGTGATCGGGACCTAGGACAGAAATTTTTTATTTCTTGGGTGAATGAATCGTGAATTTCTGAATGTTCAAACTCATAAGATCTCAAGTGTAAGGGATTCTCAAAGCCATCTAGTCTAACGCGCACTCCATACCCATCTTAACAGTCATCCCCTTGAATATATGCCATTCCAGGAAAAGGGGCTTGTCATTTTCCAGAAAGGCCACCCAATTATTTTGCTTCGCGGCATAGAATAAATTTACTCACAGGGAACTTTGTCTATAAAGTCATAGCTGTTTTTGTACTTGTTACAATGGAACGAGCCTTACAACTCCCCCATAGGGTTAGTACTTTTCATAAAGTCAAATGCGATTTTTTACAAACATTTATTAAATCCCTTCTCTACTCTAGGTGCTTTGCTTACAGTAATTCACATAATAGGGCAACGAGGTAATCTTTAGTGTACCCATTATCCAGATGAGCCAGGTGAGCTTCAGAGAGGGTCTTACGAAGGCATTCAGCTAAAAAGTGTCGGAGAGTTCAGTTCTGAATTCAGGTCTTAGTGTTATCATGCCCATTGCTCAAATAATGAGTAATACTTGCAGAACACTTGCACAGCTCACCAAATGCTCCAAGATATCTGTATTACTTGAAATTTATTAGCATCCCATAAGTAAGGAAGGCATTAATCACTCTGAAACTAGAGGTCGAGAGGCCATAAATAGTGGAGTTGAGTTAAAAACAAGTCAACTAAGAGCAAATTTCATAGTTTTTACACTAATACCATATTACTACAAAAAATTATCTGATCCTCACACTGCTTCAAAAAATTGATATTTATTTCAATCACCTAATAAACACATTATTAATAAACACATTTTCTTTTTTTTTTGCGGTACACGAGCCTCTCACTGTTGCGGCCTCTCCCGTTGCGGAGCACAGGCTCTGGACGTGCAGGCTCAGCGGCCATGGCTCACGGGCCCAGCCGCTCTGCGGCATGTGGGATCCTCCCGGACCGGGGCACAAACCCGTGTCCCCTGCATCGGCAGGCGGACTCTCAACCACTGCGCCACCAGGGAAGCCCTAATAAACACATTATTAATAAACACAAATGCATTCCAATTATAAGCCATGGCTGGAACTGAAGGGGAAAAGATGACCCAAGCATAGACCCTGTATGGTATGGGTTCACAATCTTGTTGGAGAGATAGGGACAGTCATAGAAAGGTTTAGGAACATCATGGAAGGAAGTAAGAGTTAGGTGTCAAGCTTGCTTTGGGAAACCAGGGCAGGGCAGGTGTTTCATCCTGCTAGTCTTTGCAGTTAGTTGTGAACACATCATTTTCCCCTAGAAGATTGTTAATATCTGGAGGGCAGATATGGTGTCTGGGACATTTTGACGTCCTCTTAGCATATGGCACAGAACTTTGCCCAAAGTCTGTGCCAGTGATAGTGTATGATACAAGCAGCTTTTAGACCATGGCATAACCACTCAGATGCTCAAATAAATCAATAACCCTACATGTAATAGGTTGGGCTGTTTTGGAAGTGTCTCCCCACGAGAGGACTGTTGGAAGTGGCTAAGTGACTCATCAGAGAGGTGGACCACCAAATCAGGGGCTGGAACTTGGAGGGAAAAGGTGTGGTGAGAGACAGGCCAGGTAATTGGAGCTCCCATGGAATTTCTGATGAACTTAGGGAAGCTCTTCAAGGAGAGGTTATCCATATTGGGAATCTGCCACCCCAGAGGGCACAATGATCAGATGATGTCCAAGCCTGTCTCAGCTCTGGGGCAGCCTGAGATAGCCTGTGAGGGAGAAAAAGAGAGGAAAAGAAAGGAGAGAAAAGAAGCTGACTGGGTATATGTGCCTTATTGAAGGCCCTGAGGCATGAAGCAGGACCCCAAGTTGGCATAGAAGTGAAATCTTAAATTGTATTAGTGGGTGGTGTTATATACTGATGGATAATTTATTATTGAAATGAGACTGTTTTCACACCTGAAGGTGACTAGAGGGTATTTTGTGTGTGTGTGTGTGTGTGTGTGTGTGTGTGTGTGTGTGTGTGTGTGTGTGTGTATAAAAATCAGAGATGGCCTGGAAAAGTTAAAGGCCTATCTCTATAAGTCTGTTGTACAGATTTAAAGGGACAGCTGAAAGAAAGAAGAAAGCTACTTGCTGTTTGTACACTGTGGAGTCCATCATGATCAACCAAACTTGCTTATGTTGATGGATAGACTGTTCAAGGTGCCCACTGCCTCTATAAAGCCTCGCTGCAAAGCAAGTACTGAACGCTATTTTTGCTTTTCACCTATTTTCATAAAAGTGAAAATCCTCTTCGAATTTCTTGTGGTTAGTGGAAACAGGTACTAAAGTAGGTCTTTAGTAAAAGTGAAGTGGTGTAAAGCTGACTTCCCAACAGTGGGGATACCTGTGATGCGGGTTCCAGGATTTCGAATCTTGCATTGTTATTTAAAGTTATAACATGAGCACTTCTTCATACTCAAAAAAGTTTACATAACTGCTTCATGGCTGCATAATGATCCATTCAATGCATGTGCTTCCCCAGTGATTTTGGGGATGTTTGGGTTGTTTCAAGTAATTTACATTTTACCCTCAGATTACACTTACATTTTACATTTACATTTTATACACTTTACACTTATTACTCCATGTATAACCATATAAGGCAGCTGGAACAAGTGAAGTTGAGTTCTAATTCTTTTTTCATAAAGCATTGAATTAAGTGAATTACTACTGCTCACCCAGGGGAATGGACCTGAAAATTAGATTTTCAGGAAGTTTGGGCTTCTTTCAGACAATGGGCTGATTGTCCCACTTGAATTAACTTCTTGAGAATGATGCTAGACAGCAAACAGGAGGAGGCAGTGTCCTGCTCAGAGCAGGGCTCTCAGCTCTCCAGTTAGCTCTGCTACAGCTCCCGTAGAAGATATTACAGATTCTGAGGATTTAACAGTGAACAAATCCTCTGATTATTTTGACACTGGGATTGATAGTGCACGCGACCTAAGAAAATCCCTTTCCCCCAGAAGTCATTGGACATATCCTGCATCATTGAGCCCCAGCACCCTCATTATTTCATTAGGGCTAAAAAATAACCTTGACTTGTGAGCAAGACAGACTCATTAACTCATTTAGTATATGAGGAAATTGAGGCTCAGAACTTTTCCAAACTCAATCTACTATTGAGGACCAGAACCTAGGCCTTCTCTCTCCTAGTTCCCTCTATATATTCATATATATGATTTCATATATATATAATTCATATGTATTTTATGTATATATAATCTTAACACTATTTGCAATAATCTGATATTTATATATACAGATATAAAACCTTGACACTATTAGTGATAATCTGGGATTGGAATAGTTTGCTTGGATAATGAAGGCCCTGGAATGTGATGTGGTCTGATTTCACTGGTGCAGTGCGTGTTCGACAATTCTTCAAATTCTTGAATTTCAAGCCAGAGCCATGCATTTAGCAATTAGGAAAACTCAGTGAAGTATGGCCTCACAGAGGGAGAAAGCTTTATTCAAAGTGCTTTTCAGA